AAAAGTAATTTCAAGAATCTTAATAAAGTACTAGCGTGACTGCTTAAGTTAAAAAAAAAAAAAAAAAAAAAAAAAAAAATAATAAGAACAAAATTTTATTAAACTTTTTATTAAACATTTTATCAAAAATATCAATAAAATTTATATATTGGTAATATAATCTTTATAAAAAAACAATAGATAAGTTCTTATTAATTACTATATATATTAACAATTTATATAACTATAACTTAATCATAATCAAAAACCTTCATCTAATTTTATTAACTTTAAATATAATTAATCTAATATTTTTAAAATTAAAGCTTTACTAAATAAATTACTAATATATATTTTTTTTATAATATTTATTTAATTATTTTTATAAATACTAAATATTTTTGATATAATCTTTCTAATTTTTATTTATACTGTCTAACTTGCTCTAACTTTTTTCTAATTATAAATATTATTAATTTATTAATTCTATATATTTTATCTAAAGCAAATTTTAACTTATCTACTAGTCAGCTATATAAATTTAGTTGCAAGATTTAAAACTATTTCTTATTTGATTAAATACTATTACAAACAAACTTTTTTCATTTAATCTTACTTTTAAAAACTTTAATTAAAACAATTCATAACTATAATATATTTATTAAAATAGTTTTACAAACTATTATTCAAACACTTTTTAACATTAATGACTAAATCTATAACTAAATATAAAAATTTTATTATATTAACTTCTTTAATTAAAAAAAGAATAATAATATTACTTTTTTTTTTAAATTTTTAATAGTTATAATATCTTATAACAAATATAATAAATTAAATATTACAAAAGATTATATATAAATTATATATATTTATATCTATATAGAATAACAGATTAATTATATTTATATTTTAATATCTGTTTATTAATTAGATAGGCTATTAGAAAAATTAAGATATAATTGACATTTTGAATTAATTATAGTATATTTTATAATCATATTCTAATATTAAAAATTTAGATAAATCTTAATTATCTTAGTAGATTTAGATTACAAATAAATTTGTCTAAGTTTTAATACTTGTATATAGTGTTTGTTTTGTATTTTATAATTTTAATATATCTTAATATATAGTTTATTAATATATACAACTAAAATTACTAATAAAAATATAAGCAAAACCTTATTTTAATATCAAAAAAATAAACAAAATTTTTAAAAAATAATAAAAGTAAACTAATTCTTAATATAGATATATAAACTATATATATTTAACAGTCTTTTCTTAGAGTAACTATTCATTAGATCAGTATTAAATAGATAATACATACTATTCTTTTTAATTTTATTTTTTATATAATTTTTAAACAATTAATTATTCTTAAAAAAAATTATTGATTTTATAAAGAATTTTAAAATTAAAAATAATATTATCAGATTTACTAAAGATAACACATTAAATAATCAGATCTGCTTGTATTGTTTTTAGCAAAATATAAACTCTAAACTTATATATGCATTATAATACAAATGTTTAAATCTTATTATAAAGAAAAATCAAAAACTTTATAAAAATTAAATAAAAAAATACAAAATTTTTATAATAAAATTAAAAACTCTATTGCTTCTAAAAATATTAAAAAAATATTTATTATTCTAGATGTCTTTTTCTTAATCCTAAATTTAACATTAATACAAAGTAAATTCTATACATCTTATGTTAAAATAATTTATTAAAATTAAAAAAATTATCAATAATTTTGTGCAATCACATTCTTATCTAAAAAATAAAAATATTTAAAATCAAATAATTGAAAAATAATTAAAAACATATTAGAATTTCTTAAACCTTTTTATTATAAATATTAATACTTTTAAATGTTTCAAAACCTTTTCTTGAATCTTTACAAATAATTATCCAAAATCTTTTTGTACATTTAAATTGTTATATTTATATATATAATAATAACATATATAATAAAATGACAAAAAAGATGAAAAATTACTAACCTTGCTTTTTACAACCCTTTATGATTTCTGCACTCTTAAAACTATTAACTAAATTAGAAACCTTTAACAAAAAGAATTGCCAAATAACTATAGACCAATTAAAAATATTATATTCAATATATTATAATAATAAGATGGTTATATTATCTAAATAAGAAAATTTATTAAATAGTTTTACAGCAAGAGATTTAGCAAATAGACTAGCTACTTATCTTACATTACTTTTAGAACCAAATAGTAATCCATTGACCTGGTGGAAGCATAATTCTTCTTATTTTTTAACTATAGCTTCTATCGTGGCTAACTACTACACACTTCAAACTACAAGCGTTCTGTATGAGCATGCCTTTTCTGTCATGAAATATACAATTAATCTTACACAAAACTGTCTTCTAGAACAAATGACTAGAGCTTTATTGTGCTTGAAAAACTGGATGGAAGCTAGTATTTTAGAATAAATTAAATATAGTCAATTATTGTTTAATTATAATAACAATAATAAATAAAAAAATAAAAATCAAGTATATAATAGATAACGATAATTAGCATAAAATTGGTTTTTTGAATTGCACATTTACTTGAATATTATTGGTGACATTACAAATTTCATGACATAGGGACCGGACCGGACTTTTCACATCCTTACCAGAGGGGCATGCCCCAAAAATTTTCCGTGCCCCCAACCCTAATTAAGAACATTATAATCTGTTGTGTACGTCATACACGTCGTTTAAGCGCATGATCCTTTTGGTAGTGTTTCAAGAAAGCATGGTGACTAGTGAAAGTTGCTGTACATCCAGGTCCGTTACAAGGAATATTAGTAACATCATCATCTGATGAACCTGAATCTTGCTGTAATCATTTCATGAAATAAATAAATGATAAGATCTAAAATAAAATCATCAATGATAAATCGTCACAACATACTTGCGAAATAGCTTCTTCAATCATATCAACATCTAAGACGAAGCCTGAAAGAATCTCTTGACCGGTATTCATACTTCTCCATCCATGTTCATAATGACGTTCAGTATTATTTTCGTCCCATCTCCATGAATAGATATTTTCCTGTAGTTGGCCGTTATTATCTTGCCAGATGCTAACCAGAAATCCTAACTCCACAGACGTTCCCGGTGCAAAGAATTCATTTCTAAATCTATCATCAAATACTTAGAATTCTGATTCACTTTGAATAAAATCAACCTCAACAACAAATATTGGAGTAAAGGGTTGACCTCGAAAGGTCCAATTCTGTAATGCATTCAAGCCATGGGTCGTTCGTTTTGGTGTGAATGCAACGTCTGGTGCTCGAATTGTTCTCACTCCCCCAACGTTGAAGTTAAAACCGCCTTGAGATGAAGTGACTCTCCCATTTTGGTGCGTTTCGATGTTCCAGTTAGCTAACTGTCTCGCAATTTCTGAGACAACTGTTTCTCTAGCGTTAGGAGTAGTGTTGTTAGGCGAAACTATTTTTGGTAAATGGCGAAAGTCGAAACTGGCAAAACTCCGGCGAAACGTCGAAACTCTGGCGAAACTCCCAGTAAAGCTAAACCCTTGGAGAAAGTTAAACATAGCGTAGATTAAATCCTCTAAGATTTTGAAAAGACTGAACCATGTTGGTGAATCAAAATATTTTGCGTGTGGGCATTATGCACAGCTGGCTTATATAAGAATGTACAAAAGCAATAAACAAAGTTGATGGTCTTTTATTTTATTAAAAGAAAACTAGACTTCGGGCTTTTGAACTTATAATAAATCAATTCAGCGCCTGAAATTTCAAAGTTTGAAATCCTGTTTTCTTTTAGTAGCGTTTATTTATGTATTAATATTATTTGTATAAAATGGACTTATCAAAATATTTAAATAAATTTACTATTATATAGTTAAGATATTTTATTTACAAGCATTTCATCATTAAAACTTTAATTAAATACTATACATATGTAAGTAATTTGCTAACATTATTATTGATTGATACTTTATTTAAGTAAATCAAATAATAATAAAATTATCTATTTCTGATTTCTGTAAATGGACATACATTATAATAGTTCCTTTTTATCTTATATATAAATAAACAATAAATCATTCTATTAGTACTTATGAGTCTTAAGTTGGTCATTTATGTATTCGAACTCTTCAAAGGTATAAACCTTCTTGAGGTCTAGATTTTCAAGATCTATTTTCTCGCAATAAACTTTAAACATGTTCGCCATGGTTATTGGAATAGATTATGAAAATTTTTAATACGAGAAATCCGTTTTTAACGACTTTACGTTACACAAGTGAACAAGCCAATGACGTACTTCTGTTGAAGATATAAGCACCAGGGCCAGCTTTATTGATAGAAAATTATATACAATGGATAATATAAGGAATGGCAAGAGTAGGTGCGTTATATAAAGAATGACAAGGGTAGGGATATATATAACGAAATTAGTGGTTAGATATGGAATAAGGGTGTAAATAACGAAATTAATGGTATATAAGATCGTGATAGAAGGCAAATCGTATCGTCTATTTTGGAGGAAGTCTATTACGAGATTAATGATGATTTCGGGGAGGTGAGATTTATCCGTCAATATGACAGGATATCTAGATTTTCTTGATTCATCTATAACAAAATCAGTAAAAGTAAGGCAGGGGGCGACCAGGATACCGATCGTACCTGGATTTTCTTGACATACCACACCTCTCATTTCACGAACGACGGAGGATCCTATATTACTTTCAGTTAGCATAATTCTTTGGATCAAGCATAAATTAACGCTAAAGCCTACCTATCGGATTATCCCAATTCTTGCACTGGAACAAGATCGTAACCTCACCTATTTCTCCAATTATATCTATCCCTCCGTCGTTACGCCCCCTATCAATGAACAAAAGTGAGTAAATGTGTCATCGTCATTAACAATTAAAGATCGCACGCCGGAATAGTCTACGGTGATGTGCTTCCAGTAATTAGCGTATATCCTATTCACCACAGCCCTGGGTGCCGGACCCAGCCTCTCTATATTATATAGGGTAGCTTTCGGATACGAACAGAAGAACGTTCACCATCATATAATGGTGGCCACGATGCGCTTTCAATTCTATTCGATTTTACACCTAGTGACAGCGTACCTTCGGATACACGATAACTCGACAAATACCCAATGAGAATAGAAACTCACCCTACATGCTTAACATTAACTCCAAGACTTTTTAGTAGTTCCACAACATCTACTTCAAATATTCTTCTCTTTATATAGAAAGAGTGCTCAATGACGACGGCAACTACTTCGGTTTCAGGCATTTTTTTGAAAAAAAGTAAAATCTCCAAGATGTAAAGATTACAGTATATCATATTTTTTCATATCTTTTATATTAAAATGCCATTTCCCTCTTTTCACTGGTAACATTTTCAATTTCCTCATTAAGAGAAAGTGCTTAAATTATTTGGACTATTCATAAAAAAAACACTATGCTCAAAAATCATTTTGGAATTTATAGAACGTGTCGGAACCTTAGTATATTTGTATCTATTTCTAGTCGCACATAAAATCTGCTTATTTAACCTTAAACAGAATTCACCACAAATGCATACGGTGCAAATCATCTAATTACATCAAATATATTAAATATTGCGCCACTATGCAAATAATTATTTAAGGAAATAATATTGATGATTATAACACATGACATAATCAGCAATGTATACATTCCAGAAAAAATGCTAGTAGTTTCTAGAAAACATACAAAAATAATTATCCAATTTATTATCGCATAATTAGTAAAAATTTTCGGCATAATTAAAATTTTATTCCTTCGTTGAGGTTATGTAGAGCTTTATTGTGATTAAGTTACATTTACAGCTGTTTTCATAAACTTCTGGACATCTGGTAAAAAAAATTGACAGAACTAATAATTCCCAATTCGATAAGTTTGTTTTCAGTAATGATCAATTTATGTAGAGATGCTGGCTGGTGAAATTAATTTTGCCCATTCAGCACCTATTTCACCATTCTGGTTTAATTTCACTAGTACCTTTAAATACGTAATAAAAGTTATATTTGTATACGTAGTAACGTTTCATCGTACGTACTCAATATCAAAATGAGTTCTCGCAGGCATCTCAACCATGATAATACCAAAACTATAAATATTAGCTTCTGTTGAGATGGTTGTTTATTTAATATTTCTGGCGCAACAATACCATCTTCTAAATCAGAATTATCCTTCCTTTTGAACAATCTTAGGTAGGCATTACGTACGTATAAGATATTATATCACCATTAATATATTGATTTTGCAATCTGTTTCCGCTATGAAAATCCCCATGAACATATTCTACAATGTATTTTTATTAAATTATTAGATGTATCGACAAGCTGGTTTCCAATTAAGTTCTCTAAAATTTAAAGATAGAAAATTGTGAAAACTTCCTCTATTTGCATATTTAAATACCATCAAATATTCGTTATTGGTTGTGCCTTGAGTACATAGAGTTCTGCATGTGCTCATGCCAGGTACATTAGACACCATGCCGGACACTGATGCCTATGGCATGCCGAAAATTGTATAATAGTGCTCGGCACTTTAGGTCTGGCTATGTGTCTACGTAGTACTTTTCAACGAAATCAAGCACAAAGTATTTATGGGCACAAAAATACCTGGCATTTTTTAGCCGGACAAAAAATGCTTGTGCCCGTGTGCTTTACAGCTGCTATCATAAATTTTGAAACATCAGGTGAAAATGATTATTTGGCGATTCGATAAGTTCGTGATTTCGGTAATGAGTGATTATATAATAATGTGTATGTTGCGTGTCAAAATAAATTTTGCGTCAGGTCAAAATTTAAATACAAGATTTCTAATTTGACGTAGATATTAGTTTGATGCACAAAATATATTAAAATTTAATCGAATATAGGTTTCAAAACTTGCAAAAGAAAGGAATAAAGAAGATAATTTTACGTATACGTACTGAAACTTTTAAATAAATAATACAATATATAAATTTTTACTTTTATTTTGTTAACATACTTTGACAAATGTTAATAAATCTTACTTAATCCAGTCAATAAATTCTTGATCGTATCGAACTTTTTTTTTATTAGCGCCTACTTGTGTAATATATTTACTATGAAAGCTAATCTTATACGTACGTATTTACATCCTTGTTTATGTTTTAAAGAACAATCTTCACCATAAATTCTTGTACAGATTAAACTTACCAAACGTACCGGACATATATTTAAACGAAAACCTAATTTAAATGTGTTGAAATTGTCGTATCGTTCTGAAGATATTATCGCTATGAATTAAAAAATATATATACTAATTACTCAAGTTAAAAATTTATCACTACGTACCGTATCACAAGCTTATCGAATCGGCCAAACAATAATTCAGTCAATTTTTCACCTGACGTTCCAAAATTTATGAGAACAGCTGTAAAATTTTTTGTTAGGCACGGACCGCAGAACCCTAGTCTTGAGTTAGTCCACACACTTCCAGATTATTACCCATTAATCTAAATTCCATGTAATTTTTAAACCTATACGTAAAATAAAAATTATAATGTTAAAAAGATTAATCTATATTAGATAATCATGATAGAATTTTAACATACTTCACTTAAAAAATTCTTTCGTAAGTGCAAACACACATAATGGTGTACGTGATCATGTATTCACTACGTACGTAGAAGTAATTGAAGCTTTTCTTTTATGTACCATCCAACACCAACCATTTGAACATTAACTAATCTATTAAAAGGAATCCATTCAAATACGTACATCTTCGTATTTCATACGTACGTAGCTTTAATTTGGAATTCCTTAATACAAACATCAAAACCCTTATGTATTCCACTTGTCCATTCTAATGTTAACTTCTGAAGGCACATGTCTGAGTTACGTACATATGTACGTATGTACGAATTAGTGATACGTACGTATGTACGTACGTATGTACATAAGAAACTCAATCAAATTAGATCTTATGTACGTGCTTAACTTTTTTTTGATATACCTCAACAAAACTTGCGACTTAAATATGTACGTACGTAACAAAAATAAAGTAAAATAAAATGGGAAAACTAAGCAAACGCACAAGACAGTCTCGCAAAGCTATTGCTGAATATTGGAAAAATAAATCATTTTCACAACATGTTAAATCGGGTTTGGGTCAAAATCCCGACAAACAGAATCCCGACAGGTCATAATCCCGACAAAAAAATCCCAACAGTCAAAAATCCCAACAGTTAAAATTTCGACAATTAAAAACTCTGATAAAAAATATAATAGACCAGAGCAAACCCTATCCCAACCATTATCTAAAGTGATCTAACCCTAAAATTAATTAAATTATAAGAGCCTATTTTGCTTTAAACATATCTCATACTTGAGATTTTCTACCTAAAAATCCTGGCTGTTGGAATTTTTAATTGTTGGGATTTTTTTGTCGGAATTATGACCTGTCGGGATTCTGTTTGTCAGGATTTTGACCCACATCCGTTAAATTGACCAATGCTACCTCCTACAAAAATGATGAACCTATAGCACTTGAGTTCATTAATCAAAGTGAGCTTACAGTGTCAAAGCTTACTTGTCCATCTAATAAGACCCTCTGCAACAATGGCAATGATAATAATTCTATGTTATCATCATTAAATGCACAATTGAAACCAGAAACTATTAACATACACCTTAATACAGTAAGACAGTTTCTTAATCTTGTCAAGGATCAAAGATATACAAAGATGAAGGCAAGTAAACTTCTTGTACACAGTCTTGGTAAAGGTTCATGGCATGCATGGTGTATTCATACTTAGGCAAAACAATGGAAGAATAATAACAAATTAATAAAGTCAAAGTGTGATCAACATATAAAAACAAAATCTTTAATACATAATCAAAGTTTTTGACTTCAAATAAACAAATATTTGGAGAAAAATAAATTTAATTATTTCAAATTTTATAAATTATGTTTGTAATATTATATCTATTTTTGGAATCACAGACAAAACAATCATTAGTAGATTGACTGTGTGCAGATGGTTAAATTTACTTGGATAAAGATATCAAACTCATTCTAAAAAAATTTATTTTGATAGTCATGAATATGAAGATGTAGTAAAATACAGAAAAAATTTTTTGAAAGAGATAACTAAATTATGATTCTGAATAGTTACATATGAAAGTGAAAATTTAGAGCATAGAGTCTTGCCAAAACTTCTTCTTAATGAGTTTGAAATAGTTCCTGTTACTCATGATGAGATTATGTTTTATGCAAATGATGGCATGAATAAGTATTGGAATCCAGAAGGTGAATGTAAGCTTTATAAAAAATTGCAAGAACTTAGTGTTCATGCTAGTGATTTCATTTATAAGTCAATTAGACATCTTAATCTTTCAGAATATAAACGTCACATAAACAATCTGCTTCTTGATAATTCATGTCTTAAACTTAAATATTTTGAAACTTGTGTTACTATCTATTTAGATTTAAATTAAGATGGTTAGTGGACATTTAATGATCTTATTAATTAAATTACAAAATGTATTATACCAATATTTGAGAAAACATATCCTGGAAAGACAGCATTGTTCATGTTTGATAATAATAACAATCATAGTGAGTTTGCTGATAATGCTCTATTGGTCTCATGAATAAACATAGGCAATAGTACTAAAATGTCACTTCTTCATAATGGTACCAAGCCGGATGGTTCTATACACTTGATAATATATATGGATAACAAAGGTGCAGTAAGATCTAAAAGAATTTAATAAGTACTTGATAAATATAATTTATGAATATCAGGCCTTATAAGAAGGTATGATACATGTAAAAAAAATAAGCTTGACTCAAAAAATCCAAAATGTTGTACTATGAGTATTCTTTCTGCTCAACCTGATTTTGCATCACAAAAATCATACATATAGGAGGTAATTGAAGTGACCAGTTATATGTGTATCTTTTACCCCAAGTTTTATTGTGAACTTAATTATATTGAATCTTTTTGGACTGAGGCCAAACATTATGAAAGGCTTAATTGTGATTACACTTTTAAGAGTCTTAAACAAATTGTCCTAAAAGCATTAGACTCTGTTGGATTAATAAAGATTCATCACTTTGCTCATTGTTCTGCATGCTTTATGAGTGCATATGAACTTGGACTTTCTAGAAAGGCTACTGCTTTTGCAGTAAGGAAATACTATTCTTATTGTTGAATTTCAGAAAAAGTTCTTGAAAAATTCACAGATGGCTAGATTGTTTATCTACATATTCAATAATATAACTAATCAAATTCATTAAATGTAATAAGTATATGTATATAATAAATATGTGATAATTTATTAATCTAATTTATTAAAAATAATTAAAAAATATATATATACCAAGTTAGTGGCATAGGCAAAATCCTAAATTCATTAAGTTTAAGGTTAGAGTAATGGTTAAAAATTAAAAGAAATAGGTTTAATAGTAAAATTGTTCAATAAAAACTTTTTATTAGAATATAAAAAGTAGTTTCTTATACAGATTTTTGAGTTATAGGTGATTTTTTGACAAAACGAATGTTTTTTTGAACCTTCTTGATCATGTTATATTACATATAATCTTTAAATCTAATTCATAGATCAGGAGAACTACAACACCAACCTGGTACATATTTTCTAATTGCATTAAAAATATGATTATTATAATTAATCATTTAAGTTGTCAACTAATTGATCAATTTTTGGCTATGTATATACTTAACTTATATATTTACATTGTAAGAATATATTAACGCCAAGGTTGTTTAAGTTGATTCTGCTAATTTAGCTATTTTTGCTATATCAACTATATTAGCTAGAATCTATCATTCATACATAGTCACATGATATATATATATAAGAGTTAAAAAAGACTCATAAAGCATATGTCATATAAAAGACAGATAGTTTATAAGTTATACATAAGTGCATATAAGTGTATATGTATAGAGTTCAAAAGAATACATAATATATATCAAAAAATACGTTTAAGGACCAAAATCTTATCTTGAATAAAACAACACCTGAAGGTTTGATTTTCAAAAGGTATATATATATGTATTAGAAATATCCAAGCAGTAATCTAACCTTTTTGTAACTTTGTATGTAACAACATTTGTATAAATAACTGTATTGTTTTTATATATGACCTTGTTAACCTGCTATCATTAGTTAAGAAAGACTGTATATATTATATAGTAATTGAGATTTCTTTTATATATATAAATTATCAGATATATCTTTAAAAGTACATAAGTAAAGACTATCGATTTTTGCGATATGAAAGACATTACATATTATATACATATGTATATAGAATAATGGCATATATAGAAAAAAAGGATACGCAATAGTAATAAAAAAATTAAATATTAAATTTAAGTCTGTAAAAATTATATATAAATAGCGAAAAATTATCTTAAATAAAGAAAGCTTATAGAGTTCCAAAACTTTCTTTCAGTTATAAAATCACTTGTTGTTTTTGTAAAACCTTGTCTTTGTAATTGTATTCTACTTTCGAATTAAATAAAAAAAAGAGTATATATCAGTTAATAATCAAGCCCCTTATATATTAATTATAAAACTAATTAAATCTGTGATTAGCTCATACATAGTTAAAAATCAATATCCATATAATTGCCTTAGATTGTGCCTTCATGACTATATAACAATCATGAAGAGTCTTTATAATTGAAATTAACTATTCTAAACCTAAAGAGAAATGTCTACAGTTAATACTAAACAAGTGTCTTAAATATAAATACAAGATATAGAATAAAAAAGAATACTTATTTGAAGCTATCATTATTATCATATATTCTAATAACCCTTAATCAAAGCCTTATTACTATCAAAGATTAGATTATATTGGCTATGTATATTGTTCTAAATAAAATAGTTTAGTTAGTATTAGAGTTGTAATAAGATATCCTATATTCGGCTCTATAACTTTTCTGACATAGCAAACACTTTTTCAATATACATACAAATTTATCATATGTATAAAAAAATTCTTATATAGATATTAAAAATATGTTGCTACATAGTGTTACAAAGTAGATTTTAGTATAGTATATTATAAATAGCATTAGTAGTTATATATATTCTTTATTGTATTTTATAT